GTAATGGGGAGGTATCAGGGCATATAATGGAGCCGGGGGTAGGCGAAGGAGCGCCCTACGCAGCGACGACGGTTCTAGGAAAGGAGGCTCACGGAGGAATGGGCGGGGGCTGCTGATGTAATTGGGAGAAGTGATTAATCCTGCCTTCTGCCGTTCCGGCCTCCCTCCACCCCAACCTTCACCTGGTTTTCTTCAAGTGGAGTGAGGGAGTCAATCTTTGGTAACTCGGGATTTCTGTGCTCGGTAGGTTCTAACTCTGAGCTGTAGGGAGCGCTGCAGGCTCTGTGCCCTTCAGCCCAGCTGGGGGTATTTGCAAAACCTTAGGAGGTCGACTGTGACCGAGCTTTTAAGCTTGAAAGTTTGGAGTCGCCTCCAGTTCCTGTCACCCAAACCAGAGTGTTTAAAGAGCTTGGCCAGTTTTTAGTTTCCTTTGGGTTTTTGGGAAAGTGGTGTACATAATGTTCCGGGAGAGAAATTGTCTGGAGGTTGTGATCGTGATGCTCTATTTCATTGTTTTTTTCTTTAGGTCCCACACACTTAAAAAATGAGAAACTCCCAAGAGGAATTGTCTTTTGTATCTGTATCTGGTCCCCTTAGCATAATCTCTCCCCAAGGAAATCGTTTCTATTCCCTGGATGCCGTTGTGATGGCTGCAAATGTACTCTTCTCACTATTTATTCATTATGGCATAGCTAGTAGTTTACCTCTGGATTCCCTTGTTTTCAGGGCTTTTAGTGATTTCCTACTTGAATTTCATTGATTGCTTTCTAGGCTTAAGATAGGTAAGACATTACAAAGCTTAATAAAACCAAGACAGAGAGGGAGAAGAGTGAATTCTGAGAGAAACACAAGGAGACAGATAAGCTAGTATTGTGTTGTGTGAGCCCCAGATTTCTTAAGTGACTCTAAGCAAATCACCTTTCTTGATATCAGACATCTCTCCTGCTATTTAAATAAAACTATCAGATGATATGCAATTTTTTTGATCATGTGATTGTTGAGATGCTCTCTTTTTAGTCAGGAAAATGGAGACTCCTGAACATAATCTTTTCAAAACTTATATGCGGCCTGGTGGTGGTGGTGCATGCCTTTAGTTCCAGCACATGGGAAGCAGAGGCAGACTGATCTTTTTGAGTTCGAGGCCAGCCTAGTCTATATAGTGAGTTCCAGGACAGCGAGGACTGTTACAGAGAAACCCTGTCTCCAAAAATAAAAACAAAACAACAACAAAACTATGTAAGACAGCTGTTTGAAAAACATCTTGAGGAGCTAGAAAAATGTCTCATCCCTTTAGAGAACTGAATGCTCTTCCAGAGGACCCAAGTTCAATTCTCAGCACCCACATGGCAGCTCACAACTGTCTGTAACTCCAATACCAGGGCATCTGTCACCCTCTTCTGGCCTCTGAAAGCACCAGGAATGCACGTGGTACACAGGCATGCAGGCAAAAAAACCATACACTTAAACTTTTTTTTTTTTTATTAGAAAAACCCAGCCTGAGTCGTGCATGACTAGCTCATGCCTATGATCTAAGAATTCTGAAGGCTGAAGCAGAAGGATGTCAAGTTCTACATGCAATCCTGGAATGCATGACAAAGCCCATCTCTAAGTAAATATGTAAACAAATATTAAAAATATTATGGCTAACTAGGTGAAGATAAACATTGGTATTTGTTGGGTGGTGGTGGTGCATACCTTTAATCCAAGCACTCGGGAGGCAGAGGCAGGCAGATCTCTGTGAGTTTGAGACCAGCCCGGTCTATAAGAGCTAGTTCCAGGACATCCTCCAAAGCCACAAAGAAACCCTGTCTCGAAACCCTCCCCCCACAAAAAAATAATAAACATTGGTATTTGACTTAAATAAACATTGAGGGAAGAGTTTAAAATGTGTGGGAAAATAGCATATTATAATTGTGTCCATAATTCTGATTGATTTAAAAATGTACAGCTGGGGGGGGAGGTGCATACCTTTAGTCCCAGCATGGGAGGCAGAGGCAAGTGAGTCTCCATGAGTTCAAGGCTAGTCTGGTCTACAGAGAGAGTTCTAGGACAGCCAGGCCTATTACACAGAGAAACCCTGTCTCGAGAAAGAAAAAATATTGTACTCTACAACTACACGCTGGTTCCTCTGAAATATGCATAGTGTATAAGGTACTACAGAAAATATCAATCAAAGACTAAACCTTAACCATGATGAGTTTGAATTTTGGTCTGGTAGAATTGAAGATTTATTCATATTAATCAAATGTAGAAAGAAACTATAGCTTATTTTCTCTAATTACATTCTTGTTGTTGTTGTTGTTTGGTTTTGGTTTTTCAAGACAAGGTTTCTCTCTGAAAGAGTCCTGGCTGTCCTGGAACTCACTCTGTAGACCAGGCTGGCCTCGAACTCAATGAGATCTGCCTGCCTCAGCCTCCCAAGTGCTGGGACTAAAGGCTTGCAGCAACACCACCTATCTAATTACATTCCTATTTATTTTGTGTGTGTATGTGCATGTGTATGCAATGGCATGGTCAAAGGACGACTTGCAGAAAGAGTTGGTTCTCTTCTGTCGTGGGTTCTGAGGACCAAACTCACCCCTATTTTCTGTCATTTTTTAACTTCAGATCCATACATCTCATTCTTCTACATAAGTACCATCTTTTAGATTTTGTTTCACAATTTGCTTATTCCAAAGTATGTTTAGGAATAAACATAAAATTATAGAGGCTGTCACCAGGTGGTAGTGGCGTAGGTCTTTAATACCAGCACTCAGGAGGCAGAGGCAGGAGATGTCTGTGAGTTCAAGGCTAGCCTGGTCTACACAGCAGATTCCAGGACAGGCTCCAAAGGTACAGAGAAACACTGTCTCAAAAAACAAAACAAAAACCGAACTGGTCATTCCTATAATTTTGAGAAATTATGCAATTTCCTTTCATTGTAATTCCTTTGTAGGGGAATGTCACCTCCCTCCCCTCCCCCACACCATAGGGTCTGTATTGAACTCAAGTCTCCACAGGTCGGTTCATTCTCAGAGTAGTACTTAGTCTTCTCACTGAAATACATCATCACTCTGGGCTTCCCGAATACCCCCATGCAGGCCTTGATGAGGCAGGGGACTTGCTTTGTGCTTCTGCGGCCACCTCTCTTCCAATGTTGCATTGTTCTGCCTGCATCGTGTTGAACATGCTTTGAGGCTGAAGGTGCACTCCAACAGGTCTTGGCCTTTCACAAGCATGCCCAGGAAAGCAACCCTTTATCTGAGGTGCTGTGAATGTCTCCAGGTGTATGTGAATTTGTCAGCTACCTACTTCCAACTTAATCTTTCCACCATGAGAGGACATGGAAAGTAAATCCGCTCTTCTCTGTCCTCCTGTCTTCTTTCCCTCATCCTCCCGGTGACAAAGGATGAATTTCTTTTCTTTTGGAAACATTCCTTCTGTGCTATATGTTTTTTTTAACATGTTGACTAGTTCATTATAAGGCCCGGCAGAGTAGGGAGACTAAGAAGAGGAACAGGGGTAATGGCTGACCGCCATGGCCGGTCGCCATAGAGACAGGCTGAGAGAGAGCCAAGAAGAAACAAACAGAGAGTAGAGAGAGCACTATATATATATTTTTTAAAGATATGATCTATGTTGTAGTTCAGGCTGGCCTTGAAATTATACCCTTCCTGCCTGAACATCCACAGTACCGAGAGCACAGGCGCCTCTTCCTCCTTGAGATGGCATTTGCTCTGCTCCGTTTCTTAAGTGAAGTGATAAAGTGTGAGAGAGAAACTAGTTTAACAATAATGGATCTTTTGGGAGATATTTTTTAAAATAGTCTATTCCCATATCACTTGTTTAGACATATTTTTAGTTTATTTCATGGAATTAAGTCTTAAGAGTCTTGTTTGTACAACAGTGTTCAAAAACATCTTAAAACTGTGGAACTCAGAGCTTTTTGGGTGGCCTTTGGAGACCATCTCATCTCATTTCTGTATCTGACAGACTGTGAAACTAAAGTCCAGAGACACAAGATGACAAAACCATATCCCATTAACTACTCAGTGACACAGCAATTGCCTGCCAGTCCAGTGTCCTTCCATTCACAAATATGACAAATAGTTAATGCTTCTGCTGAAAACCTAAGACGTTCCAGAGGGTTTTCAACCATTATCAGATCACCTATCTGATATTGGCAGCAAGTGATCCTGACAGCTGCCATAGAAATTATCAATGAACTTGGGCATGGTAGCTCACGCCTGTAATCTCAATACTCAGGAAGCTAAGGTGAGTACGGTTGCTGTGAGTTCAAGACCACTGTGAGATATGTACTGATTTCCAGGACAGTCTGGGCTACAGAGATACCCTGTTTTGTGTGTGGGGTGTGTAGGCAGGTATGCTGTGCACCAGTGTGTGCATACATGAAGGTCTGAGAAAGATGTCAGGGGCCCTGCTTTATCACCTGTTCCTTATTCCTTTGAGGCAGGGTCTCTCACTGCACCTGTTGCTTTGAGGCAGGGTCTCTCACTGCACCTGTTGCTTTGAGGCAGGGTCTCTCACTGCTTTGAGGCAGGGTCTC